ATTTTAACTCAACTAGCCTCTCTCCTTATTGTTTTACTTTAGCTAATCTCCCACTTTATTATTTTAACTCAGCTAGCCTCTCTCCTTATTGTTTTACTTTATCTAATCTCCCACTTTATTGTTTTAACTCAACTAGCCTCTCTCCTTATTGTTTTACTTTAGCTAATCTCACACTTTATTATTTTAACTCAGCTAGCCTCTCTCCTTATTGTTTTACTTTATCTAATCTCCCACTTTTTTGCTTTAACTCAGCTAGCCTCTCTCCTTATTGTTTTACTTTAGCTGATCTCCACTTTATTGTTTTAACTCAGGTAGAAAGTAGTCTTTTCAGGATAGTGAGTCAGTTACGTGTCTTATTCTTGTAAAAATCTAAATTATATCTTTGTTAACGTGGCAACATCACATATATATATATAGAATAATATGTAAGTTATGTGACTGTTGCCAAGGAACGCATCAGATAATACAGCATGTAAATCTTCTGCTAGTTATCATGGTAACAGATTAGACACGACTGAATAGTCTTGAGAATATTTACCAGGAATAATGTCTATTCTTGTTTTCTTAAAACTGTATGTATATCAAAAGTAATGTCAATCTTTGAATATGATAAAAGTAATAACCACTAATTGGTAGAATTTTTTTATTTCAATACTTTCATACTCGCCAAAACATGTGAAAGATGAAAGACATTCAGGCGTCAACCGTAATGTTTAAACGTATGTATCGCCTATGTAGAGACATAATATATACACACACAGAGAGAGATTTGTGTTTAATTTAAGTATACAAGTGCAAACCAGAATCAGACCACGAATCAAAAAAGAAATTAAACATTTTACCAATATAGTAATGTACCGATAAAAATACTACTTGAAAATCACCATTAAACCGGTACACATTAAAGTACTAAAAACGCACTTATTTTCCTCCTTCATACAGAACCTAAATAAAACATCAAAATGGCTGTAATAAAAATAGATCTCTAGTTAGATAAAGGACGAATGAAATGACATATCCATTTCCAGTCGTTTGCTTTTTGTTGTTGTTGTTTTTTTTTCAGATCATCGCCATTACCTCACAGCGTACGCATGCGAGGGTTCATATCTGAACATCTCTTGTGAAACAGGACAACTGATTCATCTGATCCGAGCAAACTATGGACGCTTCAGTATTACCATCTGTAATGAACATGGTTCTCTAGATTGGAGCGTCAACTGCGCTTATCTACCGTCTTCGTACCAGACTATTAAAGAAAAGTAAGAAACATTCCAGACTATTAAAGAAAAGTAAGAAACATTCCAGATTATTAAAGAAAAGTAAGAAACAATCCAGCTTATTTAAGAAAAGTAAGAAACATTTCAGACTATTAAAGAAAAGTAAGAAACACTCCAGACTATTAAAGAAAAGTAAGAAACATCTAAGATTATTAAAGGAAAGTAAGAAACATCCCAGACTATTAAAGAAAAGTAAGAAACATTCCAGACTATTAAAGAAAAGTAAGAAACATTCCAGATTATTATAGAAAAGTAAGAAACATTCCAGCCTATTAAAGAAAAGTAAGAAACATTTCAGACTATCAAAGAAAAGTAAGAAACACTCCAGACTATTAAAGAAAAGTAAGAAACATTCCAGACTATTAAAGAAAAGTAAGAAACATTCCAGACTATTAAAGAAAAGTAAGAAACATTCTGCTAATGACGTGATATATTTTCTACTTAGCTAGTATTTTAGCATTTAATAATCTCAACCGGAATGACACTGTATGCGACATAAGGGCTAAACAACCAAATCAGAGATCTTAAGGCTCAGGCACAGCTGCTCCTAATTTTAGTCTGGTAATCAGGAGAAGGCAACCAATCGGCAACACCTACCGCTCACACTGCCACTCTTAATCGAATAGTCGGATTCAGTATCATTTTTATAAGGTGCCCACAGTTGACAGTGTATGACGTGTTCACTGGTATATTGAGGTCTCGAACCTTAGACCTTTATTAAGCCATACCCTATATACGAAATATTTATTGTCTTTTTTATATACATTGTAGAGCATCATAGGCAATAGAAAAATGTATGGGTAACAGTAGGGTTTTTATTATTTTTATTGACGTAAAATATACAAATTACAACATTGAAAAATAACACACTTCAATCAGTGACCTCTAAACTAAGGGCTTAATAATTTGTAACCTGTCATTAAGCCCTTTAATAGTGCAAGGTACATTCGTTTGTTTATTTTAAAACAAAGCCACATTGGGTTATTTGCTATGTCCACCACAGGGAATCGAACCCCGAATTTTAGCGTTGAAAGTTCATAAAATTACCGCTATCTCACCGGGGGACTATAATTGACATTGTTTCAAAAATAACAACTAAGATTTCACTGTGATGTGATATCTATGTGTCTGAATGGGTTAGTTTTACTATTATTGTGCGTAGTCCTTTGTACAAATGACTGTTTCAAGGCTGGATGTTGTAATCTACTTTCCAAGTGTATTCTTAATAAGCGTTGGAAAAGGTTTGGTCTCCACTATGAGTAACTAAACCGATACTGTATTTTCAAATCGTACTAAGTTGGAACTTTAATCACACGTTGCGTATAATTTGTAATATGTTGTCCACGTGGGCGAACTTTCAATCCTAATTCGAAACAAATCAAATACTCTCAATGTATGTAGAGTTTTAATACTAACAAGACCCCCCCCCCCAGTGGCACAGCGGTAAGTATGCTTGGTTTATAACGCTAAAATCCGGTGTTTGATACCCGTGATGGGCAGGGCACAAATAGCCCCTTATGTAGCTTTGTGTTTACCTACAAACATGCATGCATACAAACAAACAATTTTAACAAAAAAATTAAACATTGTCCACATGTGTACAGTTCTGATTTATATGTGTACAATTTTGATTCTAGCAAAATATATTAGCTATTCTTCTTGTGTGCATAATTGTGGTTAAAAATACGAATTAAGCATGTACAATTTGATTCTAACAAACTAGTTAAACGTTGTTCACGTGTGTAGGTTTTATATCTAAGAAACTAAATAAACATTGTTCCCGTGTGTAGGTTTGATTCTAATAAATCTAATTAAACTTTGTCCATTATTTAACTTAAAATCATGTAACCTTCCACTTCGTTACTGTCTTCAACTTTCAATTTCACTCGAACTTTCTAAAATATACAGAAAACTCATTCACATAACAACCTAAAACGAACATTATCCGCTATAACATTCATGGTTTAATAGTTAGTTTAATATTCATGTTTCAATAGTTAGTTTTATCATCTATGTTTCAGTAATTAGTTTAACATCCATATTGTAATAATTCTAACATCTATCTTTCAGTAATTAGTTTAACATCCATATTGTAATAATTCTAACATCTATCTTTCAGTAGGTTGTTTAACATTCATATTTTAATTTCCCCGAAAGGGGACCAAAGGCCGTCTGGAGGGGGTTACTTATTTTTTTTGTTGTCTGTCAGTCAGTCAGTAGACACTAAAATGACGTCACATAAGGGACGCTTAACGTTGTAATTTGCACTGGGGTGACGTCAGTAAAACTTGCGCATACCATGAAGCACGAGAAGAATTATGCACTCTGTAAGCTACAACACAGCATGACATACAGTCTTGGCCAAATTACTTGCGTAATGTTCTGTATTGATGTTATTGTCTACATGCATGGAAGTGTTACTGAATAAATACCCGAGTAGTAACAGAGAAGGTAGCGTATGATCGGACAAACATGTACGAGTTGTTATTCTGGTCTGTATAAGTTGTTTTGAGCATTTGTTCATCAAAATACACATAGACACCTGTTTTGTATACAAGGGTGTGCTTTTGGTATGATCTTTTTCGAAACAGATCAACGCTTTGTTCTGACCATTTCTCTGTACTTGGTATGCAGTCATGCCTCGTCACGTGCCAGAAGTTATAAGACGTCAAATTGTTCGACCGTCCAGAAATAATATGAAGCGAACGGACATTCCCAGAACGGTAGGGTACTCCCAGTGTACTGTATCCAGAATCTTGAAACATCATCGAACTACAAGAAACTTTGTTCCAGGAAAATCTACTGGTAGGCACCGAAAGATTACTGCCCGAGATGACTGTTTTGATCAGGTTAGCGACGAAAGAAGTCTTGCAATACCTGAAGACAGGAATGGCGTGAACAGATTCATTCCAGGGTACCCAGAAGAACAGAAGACTGATCAAACATGGTTATTTTGGAAGAAGGGCTATCTGCAAACTGATATTAACCAGAATTCACTGCCATCACCGTGTTACTTGAGCAAGACAGAATGACAACTTACACCTAGGACACTAGCAACATGCTATATTTTCAAATGAGTTATGTTTTCGGCTTATTAAAACTTATGGTAGGGTTCGTGTTCGTTGTATTCCTAGATAACACATGAGGGAAGAGTATCTTTCCCACAGGAAACACACAGAAGGTGGTGCAGTACATGTTTGGGCAGCTATTCATCATGGTGAAAAAACTGCTCTTCACATCCTCCAGGAAAACGTCAATGACGCCTCCTACAGCACCACATGGAGACACTATTTCTGCCATATGCTAGGACAAGGTTTGGCAATATTGTTTTCCAAGATGGCAATGCGACTGCCCACACTGCGTATTGTACAGGATTATCTCGACCAGGAGGACATTACAAGATTGCCATGACCAGCAAAGTCTCCAGATCGTAATCCCATTAAGAACTGTTGGACAGAAAAGACTCAGAAAATTGCTAACCACCACACAAAACCAGATACTTTAGCTGATTTTCAGCACCTTCTAGTGATACGTTGAGATAAAATCACGGTGGATTACATCAATAACCTCATCGACAGTATGCCAGTACCTTGCGGAGTTATTAGAGTAGGAGAAGAACCAACCAAGTACTGAATGTTTAATATGAACTGATATAAGGTTACAGATGCTATTTATAATATTTTGATGTTATATCTTATCATTATATATTTTTGGTAAGGATTTGTTGTGATAGGTGAAATGCTGAATTAAACATCTTTCTACAGGTGTCTGATAAAATTGTTTGCTGTTCTAATAAATTGTTCATGATGTCAATAGAGCCTGTAGATGTTTAATATAACATGTATTTCTCAGTTTGACAGTACTAAGTGTATTTCTATTCCATCTTAATAATAATGATCTTATTTGTTACAAAATATGCAACATTTTGGCCAAGACTATGTGAACTTCAAACGCAAGAAATAAAAATATTTGTTACTCTTAATTTTCCGGCATGACCAGGTGGATAAGGCGTTCGACTCGCAATCTGAGGGTCGCGGGTTCGAATCCCCGTCACACCGAACATGCTCGTCCTTTCAAAGAGGGAAGGCTGTCAAATGGGTTGCATCCTTGACGTAAGAAACAGCTTTAGAAACGATGGCAGAGCAAGATCTGCCATCGGCTCAACGGTCCGCAAAGACTATGGGAAACAAACAAAAAAAACTTAATTTTGGATTTATACAGACCAGCATAACAACTAACAACTTGTACATGTTTTTCCGATCATACGCTACCGTCTCTATTACTACTCGGGCATTTACCCAATAACTTCACTATGCATGTAGACAATAGCATCGAAATAGAACAGTATGCAAATATTTTGGCCAAGAATGTAGATCTGGCTCAAAAATGAAAAACAAAGTGACCTAAAAAATGCTTTTATTAACGAAATTGGGGTTTCAACAATGTTTCAAATATATTCATACTTAATTTTAGGTCGGTGGTTCCCAAACCTGTTCCTCTAAAGCACACCCGTAGTTACCAAAAACGCGACAAAACATAACAAAAACTCTTAGCAGTGAACATAAACCCACTCACATAAGTGCCGAAAAACAGAGAGTTGTAAGAAAAATGGCTTTCGATTGAATTTTTAATTTATTATCACGCAGAAATTGTTTTTCTAACGTATTTAATTGTAACTAATATTTTTCAAACGACCATATAAAAAGTACATCGTTTTTGTGCCACACTGCTAGCTCATTTGCGACACATTAGTTGCGTCTCAGAAAAAATTTCTTTTGACCCCAAATATTCTACCCGAATTCATTAGAAGAGAAAACTCTGCCATATCAGCATTGATTGTGTTTTTGCAATCACTGCATCTGAATCCATTAGAAGAGACAACTCTGCCACGTCAGCATTGATTGTGTCTTTGCGATCACTCCACCTGAATCCATTAGAAGAGACAATTCTGCCACGTCAGCATTGATTGTGTCTTTGCAGTT